CTCTGGGTTACAGGGATAAATAAAATCCAGACGTCATGCTGTTCACAAACTAATGGGAAGATGCAAATGCAGATATATAATAGCAGTACTATGCTAGCAGTCATTCCCATAACAGAAATAAGGACCAGAGACAGTGAGGGCACTAAAGAGTAAATATTTAATGCTGTTTTGGAGGGAGCCAAGGAAGGTTTCACAGAGAAGAATATGTGAGAGCTGGTCTTAAGGGATGCATAGGAATTTACCTGACTTATAAAGAGGGGTAGGAGAATTCCAGGGCAGAAGGACCAGCATGAAAAATGACACAGAGACACAAGAAAACAAGAAGGTTCAGGGCACTGTGAGCAGAACTTCCACAAGTAGGTACTTCTGATAGAGCAGGAAGCTGGACGTAAGATGAGAAAATAAAACATAGTGATGGGAAAGCTTGATGATAGTCAGACCGTGAAGGATCTCAGGTAAAAGGTGCCATGCCATGAAGGATGCCATGTTAGATCATTTAAATTTGATCTCCTGAGCTACTGAATGGCAGGGAAGAGGATTTGGAAATAATGTTATAATCTGATGGTCTCTAATGCATCCTAAAAGTAGTGGTAACTACAACTTGATTTTCCTTCAGTGGATGAGTGGTTAAAAAATACTGTGGAAACTCCACACCATAGAATACTACTTAGAACTAAAAAGAAATGAATTATTAATATGCACAGCAATGTGGATGGGTCTCAAGAGAGTTATGCTAAGTGGGAAAAAAACAACCCCAAAATATTTTAAAAACTGTATCATTCCATTTATATATTTTGAAACAACAAAATCATGGAGATAAATCACAGATTAGTGGCTATAATGGAGTCGTTTGTGGTGATGGCAGAATTCTATTTTTTGTGGTGGTGTTAGTTACACAAGTTCTGCATGTGATAAAATTGCACATACAAATAAACATACACACACATGAGTATATGTGTAACTGGTAAAACATAAATACAGTCTATTGACTGTGTCACGGTCACTTCACTAGTTTTGATGCTGTACTATTGTTATGTAGATGTGACTGCTATAAAACTGGACTAGAGCACATGGAAATTCCCTACTGTGCACGTGTGTGTGAATTCCTCTGAATATGTAATTATTTCAAAAAAGTTTTTAAATGATGACAAACACTGGTAATGTGATTAACATAGGAACCTGGAAAAAGAGAAGGTTTTAGTGGAATTTAGATTGTTACTGAGGCAATAATTTCTTCTGGGAAAGAATTCTTAAGTAGGGATTCTAAAGTATGTTTTATGTAACTATACAGCACAAGGCTACATTGACATGAATGTATACATTACAGATAAAATTTTTCTCAATGAATTTGGGTTCATCAGTACTCAAATGCTCTAGAGAAAAAGTAACAACTATAGAATTGGAGGTAGCTTATCAATACAAATGTGCTCAATTCAGAATGATGAAAGTGCCAAAACCACATCAAACACTACTAGCTGGATCTTTCTAAAAATTAAAAACAAAACAAAACACCAACAACCAAATAAGCAAAAACAACCAAACCAACCTGACTTGTGTTCTGAGTGATTTGGCTTTCATAGGATGAAAGGTTCATGTGTGTGTCTACATCTATCATGTATGGTTGCAGATTGTACCTCAAACTCTAACATAGTGTGATGAAGTCTGAGATTAAAAACACACACACAATTAACATATGCATTATAACCTAACACACACAAAACACACATGTCTTGGTAAAGCATAAGTGTAAACTCTATAAGTAATGCAATACTTCTGTTATTAGCACACAGGATAGTCCTCAGGATAAATGTTAGGTGGAATCTTGTTCTTTGGCCTGACAGTATCATTTGAGTAGCAAATTGTCCTAGTGGAATTTTTTCCATCTTTAGCCTTGAAACAATAGCTAATTTTATGCAAGATTCTTGCACAAGGGTAATGTGGGTTTAATAGTGACTTTGAGCATTTTATTCTTGCAGAATTCAAATGCTTCATACAAGTATATGCATTTCTAAAATCCCAAGCTCATGAGTTCCTGATTAATGAGAAGGAATCACAGATTTTAATATGAATTGGGCTTTAAAAATCATAAGGCAGTCTACTAATTTGTCAGGGTTATAAGTAAGTCCTCAAAGGCCAGGTAGCACCTTGCAGCAGTGCTGAAATGTGGAAGAAGTCCTTGGGGTGACAAAAACAGGTGGCAGATGTGGACACAATTACCCATGCCCCAAGATGCCACCATAATCCTGAAACTTCAGCAGAGATGACAGCCTCAAAATGGATAAACCAAGTTGGCCCAGAGGTGACAATCACCCCAAAAATACAGCCTTCATAGGAACATCTCACAATGGATTATTATGCATTTGTTTTCTCATTCATGGTGTGTTTTCCACGTAATGTAAGTCCCAGACCTTGCCTCTTTCTATACCTTTGCGTACCCAGTTTTGGTAAGGTTTCTGGGACAGACTAGGGGCTTGGAAAACATCTGTTGACTAAATGAATACCGCTTTACTCTCTCACACTGCCCTTTGACAGTTTTTGAGTGGTAGACACTTTTCAAATTTTAATGAAACCTATGAACCCTCTCCTTGAAAAACGTACAAAACTATAACAATTTTGATCTACTATGGGTTTATGGATCCTAGATTAAGCTATGCCTATAGAAATCATTTTCAAGGATGAGAATATTATTATAAACACAATCAATCAATGAATTTCCATTCTAGTTCCTTCCGAAATTCTCCTGATTACTTCCCCAAGTTTCCCTAACTCTATGGCATTTTTTTTGCTATTATCATTAATCATAGTCTACACATGCACATTATGTTTTAGTGACATCACTGTCACAGAAAAGAATAGCTCGGCTGATCAAACTATTTCTATCATTTTTTATAAAGTGCACGGTTAGTTTCTCTCTCCTCCCACCTCTTTCTGACACTAAGAAAATCTTTGTGTACATTTGGCATAATCTCATAATTCCTTTCCCAAAGGACACTTTGAGTGGAATTTGAAAAAGAGAGGGGTTAAGTCATACTCTCTCACACACAAACCCACCTTCCTGTCAGAGAAAGGTCCAGAATAAGAGGGGAAGTAGAGACCAGGTATGTGGTCCAGTTGACATAAACAACAAAGAGCACATTGAATTCCAAGTACACCGCAGACTGCACGTGACTCATTCTGTCAGAGAAGACCTGACCTTAGTTACCAGTGATGAAGGAGCCCCATGTGAATCTTACTAGCACACTGGGCTTTTGGGAAAGAGACAATTATCATCACATCTGATCTGAACTGTAAGCGTTATGAGAAAACCCTTAATGAGAATCTGCCTCTGAAAGCCTTCATAAGGCCAAACTCTTCCAGTACAATGATCCCGAAGCAACCATGAAACTCTGCCACAAGAAATGAAGGGGGTTACTTTTTATTTCTTCTGGTTTACAAATGCTGCTAAAGTGCTGGAGGTCACAATTCAAATCACCTCTCTGATTTGCCTTAACCCTGAAGGTCCCTTTTCAAGGGGGCCTTGGAGAAAAGCAGCAAGCAGCTTCTCTTCACCTGGCAGTGGAGCTGGACCGGAGCAGCAGAGCGGCGCTGTGTCCACGGGGCAGGGGTTGGGTGTGTGCCACAGAGGCAACAGAAAATGCCAGTGCACCAGAGAATGCAGTCCCGCTTAGTGAACGGTCAGCGTGGGCTCCCACTCTCCATCAGGGAAATAGCAGGAAAGCAGGGATCCGCTGCTGACAGTTGGGGGGCTGCTGGGAGTCAGGCTCCTTGCCCTGTACTGAGGTTGGGGCAAAGGACTTTCACTATGGTTTTTAGTGCCCCTGCCCCCAGCCCCACTCACAGCTTACATCCTTAATAGCTCAGAACTATATCAAAACAACAGGGCCACTAAACTGGAGTTCTTGCAATAAGAAACTTTTCTATAACTCTGCAAAGAAAACTTTTTCAGGGACAAGTTTCATAGAAACTGGCGAAAGTGCTTATTTCAAAAATCCCACGTGGGAAATCATCTTAAATGTGCATTATTTTAATTGCATTCAGTTCCTTCTATCCTAAAACCTGGTTCCTCAGAAAAAAGACTGGACAGTTACATGTAAATCATTGATGAAATCGTATCTGCAAATTAGGGTAAGCAAAGTCTTTGGAAGGTGCATCATTAGCTTTTCTTCTCTATGTCTCCAAACTCTTTTAGAGATTAGAAGCACAGCAGTTTAAAAAATATAAAGTCAGAACAACTCAGTACAAAGCAGATCTAATGAGGAAGCAGGAGTCACATAACAATACTGAAATTCTCTTCGTATCAGATTTAAGTCCTTCCCCATTTAAGAGAGCATCACCCATTACCAAGAAGACTCTCAACTATGAAAAACAGCGGAAAAGGGACCTTAACATTTTATGAGAAAACCATGCCATTACAACAAACTGACTTTTTTCTCCGTACGTCACAACAAAGTCTACATTTTACTTCCAGCAGTAAGTTAGATTTAAATACGTCAGTGTTCAATTTAAATTGCCATTATAAGGTGCTTCTCCTTCCAACAAAACTTCCTCAGAAGCTTGCATGCCATTTGTACTTGGTCTCTCAAAAGATAAATCAGAAAGCAGTACTAGATGGGAAACTATTTTTAATAGTATGACCACAGAAACTACGATCCGTACCATAAAATAGGACAACCACATGCTGTTGCAAACCTGCCCTGGTCTCGATGCCAGTTTCCAGCAGTTGCGTTTTTCTCTGCAGGCTGGAATGCATACAGCTCCTAAGGTGTTCCTAACACTTTAGAATATACACAAAGGTCCGCGTTAAAAAAAAACAAAACAAAAACCTATCCACACACATCCCAACACAACGACGCTCCTAAGAAGCTATTTCAGAGATGCCTGATAATTCTAAATGCGGCGACCTACCAATGAATAAGTCACTTTGCAAACCTGAGGAACTGTCTCTGCTGCACCTGTACCGACCACGGAAACCCCGGGCAGAGGGAATCTGACATCCATACCTATATTTCATGCCAGTCTGCTTTGCGGTGGACTCTTTGAGAGAAATGTGGTGCTGAGGGGTGAACGTCCCCAGGCTGCGCGCGATGATAGCGACCGTGCGGAATTTGGCCCGGGCTGCGTTCACCACATTGGGGGCGTTGGAGCTCTGCTTGCTCAGAAGTCGGTCCTCACCATTCCGACTCTTCAAATTGTGCTCTGTGCAGGCTATGGAGACTTGCATTGCTTCCCCGGGCAGCGCACGGTCCCTCTCAGAACCCCAGAGCACAGGCAGTCACGAGAGGTTGAGTAGTTGGGTGGGTTTCTGCTCGTCTTTTAACCCCTCCTTGTCCCACCCCCCTTCCTGGGGATGCCGTCGGAGGAGTCCTCGTGGCCGACTTCAGATCCCGGGAAGCGGCAGCAGCGGATGCAGTGCTGGACGGAGCCCTGGGCACCCACAGAAGTCGATAGCCAGCCCTGAAGTTGTCGCCGCAGCTGGAGCGCGGATCAGGCTCGCCAGTCTTCCCGGGCACTAATCTCGGCTGATTAAACAGCCAAATCCATGCAGTCAGGAGGCTGTTGCAGACGCCTAGAGCTGAGCATTCGTGCTGTCTGCACGCAGCCCGGCCGGAAGCCTGTCCACCGCCGTGTCTGAATGCGGACTTGCCTCTGGGCGATGGCTCAAATCCACGCAGGCATACTGCAAGATGCGCCGCCAGCACCTTCTGGACCACAGGCAGGATGCTCAGCTGGCACGCTGAGCATCCCGAGAAGCAGCTAATCCGAACCCGGTCCCCCCGGGACGGTGGTCTCCATTCACTCTGGCTGTCAGCTCCCTCCCTGCCTTACTCCGGGATGTCGTGGGGGCCTCTCAAGACCCCTTCCCACTCATTTTCAGGCAAAAGCTTGGGTCCCGAAGCCCACAGGAGCACTGGCTTTGCAGTTACGGAAGAGCAGGCAGTTAGTTCCCTTAAAGAGCTCCCTGCCTTTGTGTGCAAGGGGAAAGCAAGGATCACTTTCACAGACTCGCTGTAACAGAATCTAAGGGCAGCTCATAAAAGGGGGCCTCTGCCCAGGTTCAAAGATTTGTGCTGCTCAAATCTTGCTGCAGCACAACAGTTGGAACTGAGGGAAGGCAGAGTGGACGTGCTTCTGCCACGGAACATGCCAGTGAATTAACACAGAAATACTCTGAGACTGGCTGACCTGCAAAAACACAGCCTAAAATCCCTATTATTAGCCTTGTCAGGGTTCATTTCCCCTTTGCACATCATTTCTGAAGCAGACAAGTTTGATGATTCCTGAAAAGCCACAATACAGACTTCTTGGAGTCAAGCCATATAACTTGCTGCAATATCTATTCTGGCTCCCAGAGATGGACCGAGGGTGGGGGAGGCGGAGACAGCACTCTGGCACCACCAAAAAGGGGCCTGCGTACACTGGGGAAAAAGCTGGTCCACATCACCACCCAGAAGGGTCCTGGCCAGGTGTCTGGAAGTGTGTACACTGCCTGCTGGTCCTCTATGGCCCACTGGTAAGGACTAGCACTGTCCCCAAGTCACAGGTGAGCAGCAAGGTGGGAGTCTGGCACGTTGCCTGGTTCACTGTCAGGTGCAGAGCGACTGCTTCATACATGAGTCAGACACTAACTGGCCAGTAAAAATGTATCTCTCCATTTAAAACGCATGGAGGCTGGACTCCTTGTATGGATGTATTTCCAATAAAGTTGTGGCTTCTGCTAAACTGGCTTTCTGAACATGGTTCCCAACAGACACTGCTGTCAAGCAAAAAGGAACAAGGTGCAAATCAATATTTGTGAGCACCATCTCTGCACTAGACAATAGAGAGAAATATGGAGAGAAAAAAATGAAAGAAACAGTCCCCTTCAAGGAACTGGCAATCTGGGTGGAAGGACAAAGCATTCAGTCATAAGGGGACTAATTAGCAATGTCAGGCACACATTAGTTTTTGAATGAGTTGTACAGACACTGAACACACTGGAGTCTAGCAGGGGAATGATTACAGGAAGCTGGAGAAGGTTCCTCATTTATTAATTCCCCACACTTCTACTGAGACCCTATTAGGTACTGACTGTGCTGTTGCTGGGGCGCAAAGATGATGTAGAGGCTGCACCTCAGGAGCTGATGGATGCTCAGGCAGCCCTTATAGAGGGGTGGGACTTCGCCTTGGGCATGAATTTGGTTAGCAGGAGAGGAGGGAGGCTGCCTTCCCAGGGGTTGGCAGGTGTGGAAGAAAACACTCTGGCTATGTCCATATGATTTTTTAAAAAAATAGCAGGTTTGACCAGCCCAATTAAGTTGTAGGAATTAAATTTTCAAGTAGAATGTGTACCTGTTCTGAATTCTATTCCAGATATAAATTTTAAACATTTTTAAACCTGCAGGTAAGGTTTAAGTCACATTGTGGACTCTCATTCTTCACACTCCATGCCCTTCCCACTCTTTAAAAATAAATATACTGCCTAATGCACAGTGGGTGGGAGGTAACTTTGGGATGGGGCAAGGACTATAGAAAAGAACAAATGAACTTAGGACGACTTCGTTTTACCCTCAGTATCTTTGTTCCCTGGAATAAATAACAATGGGTAAAGAGGAAGCAGGTCATTAGGACGTTTATTTTTTCATACTAAGCTGGGTCATTGGAAATGATCAATGTGAATCAAGAAAAGAGTCAAAGTGAGAAGAGGTAGAATTGGGAGGAATCAGAAGAAAGAGCTCAGAAAAAGGGAAAAGTAAAGCAGCCTTGGAGGCAAGATGAGCCCAATGATCACTGTGGGGCCAGAGGGAGCAGGAACCAGTCGCTGAGGGGGAGAAGGTGTGGGACATTGGCGAAGGGCCCAGGTCAGAGTGCTGTCAATTGTACAGAGGGGAACATCCAGGGTTCAAAAGATCTCGACTCGACACTGCTCACTGAAGTGGCTTTCAGGTTTCCCAAGAGCTAGCACACCAAGGCCTGAACATACACCAAAAGCAGAACAAGGAATAGGTCATCAGAGTAAAACATGCACGGCGGAGCCCCTCTGAGTCGTCTCTGGATCCCCTATAGGACCTCGCAGAGCGCTTTGTGCAGACAGACCCTCCCTGAAAATACCTGAGAAAGGGAGATAAGGAAGGAAAGGAGGGAAAGGAAGGAGGGAGGGAAGAAGGGAGGAGTATGGGAATACGCCAAATTCTTTGATAAATGTGATTTCTTAAAAAAAAAAAAAAAAGAACAGAAAATTCTGCATGTTCTAGTTTCACGCAGCCTGCCCATTAGGAGTGAATAATTGCCCCACATTCGGGTCTGCATCTCTTGTGTGCAGACAAGCATTCCAGACGTTCGTACACGCCACAAAGAGAACAAAGAGACTGAGGCCAGAGGAGTGCTCACAGCGTGAGCCTTTTTCTTGCTACCCACAGTGCGTCTTTTCAAATCAGACACCACATGGGCTTTCTGACAGCCAGCCTGTGGCTTGGGGACTTACCCAGCTGTGCTCACCCTTCCCAGCATTAATGGAGCAGTGGGTCTCAGGAGCCTGGAAATTAGGTGATGGGTGACTGTGAGAACGTTCATTCCAATAAGTTTGTGCTAATAGGCCACATGCTAATTAAGGTAGGGAAATTAGATTTGGAATGTGTATGCTTTCATTGTCACGCAAGATTTGGAGGAGTTCTATGATTTCAAGTTCACATAAGACCCAGAAATGATGACACAGATATAAACATAGATTGGACACAGACATAAATATTGTTATGGGTACCTTCCAATTCATATGTTGAGGTCCTAACACCCAGTAAGTATCTCACAATGTGGCTGTCTTGGAGATAGGGTGTTTGAAAAGGTAATTGAGTGGATCAAAAAACTGTGGCACATTTACACAATGGAATACTATGCAACAGAAAGAAAGAAGGAGCTCCTACCCTTTGCGATAGCATAGATGGAACTGGAGAGTGTTATGCTAAGTAAAATAAGTCAGGTGATGAAAGACAAATACCATATGATCTCATCTATAAGAGGAACCCAATGAACAAAACAAACAAATGAGCAAAATAGAACCAGAGGTATGGAAATAAGGAACAGACTGACAGTGACCAGAGAAAAGGGGGGATGGATATAAAGGGGGAAAGGAGGGGAAGTGTTTAACCAATGAACAGGTATAAATGACCTGTGGACATGGACAACAGGGTGATCAACTGTAGGAGTGGGGGGGCAGGGGAGATCAACAGGGGAAGGGAAAATTGGGACAACTGTAATAGAACAATTTAAAAAGAGGTAAAATGAGGTCATTCAGATGAGCCCTAATCCTATATTACTGGTGTCCTTATAAGAAGAGCAAATTAGGACAAAGACACATTCAGAGGAAAGAAAACACGGGGAGAAAACAGCCATCTGCAAGCCAAGGAGAGATGCCTCAGAAGAAATCAACTTTTGTTGACACCTTGATCTTGGACTTCTAGCCTCCAGAACTGTGAAAAAATAAATTTCTATTGTTGCAGCCACCCAGTCCGTGGCATTCTGTTATAGCAGACCTAACAAACTAATACAGATACAGGTATTGTTTGTTTTTATAGAATTCTTATATTTTGGGGCAAGTGAAACTACAGGAGCTCTCTAAAGAGGATGCCCCTAAAAGTCTTTGTTAGACCGGGATAAACATTATCGTCTTGCCGCTTTATGCCTCCTGAACCAACGACAACAGGCTCTAAAGACATGTTCCAACCACAACTCATTTCTTTCCAAAAACTCATAAAGCTTGTACATAGTGACTCTAGATACAAAAGTGGTGATTTTTGAGGCACTTCTAGTGCTTTTTCTCATTCTTAATCATCTCCTTATTCTGCCAATTTGCTCTTTTAAGGGCTTGCTCTATACTGAGCATCTGGACTCAGCAACCGTAAATGTGTCATAAGGCAACGGAGAGAGACCTGCCACAGAAAGCAAAGGCCTGGGTTCCAATCCTGCCCATGTCACTTTGTCTGTCACCTCCAGTGGCATTTCAGCTCTCTCTCCCTTTTTTCTCTCACTTGAAATATGAGGGCAACGCATATTTATTTCCAAGGTCCTTCCTTGCTCTATAGATTCCAGGAAGTGCTTTTTCAGAGAGACATGGAGGTACAAGATTACATAAAGCCATATTACCACTTATTCCGCAATTTCACCTTGATCTCATCTGGTCTCTATTCATTACCTGACATTTAGAATTCGTTGAAAATAATGTCAAAAGGTCAGCATTGGGTCATGATGACAGAGGTGGTAAGGAACAGATCACACTCTACTTAACTGGTACCCTATATTCTCACTTTCATCATAGAGGCTTCATGGTATATGGTAGGACTCTGGAGTGTGCGGCCAGTTGGCGCCGGGTGTAAACCCCAGCTCCACCTTCCTCTTCCCTCCCACGAGCCACTGAGCAGTACTCTCAATGTCCCTGCACTTCAGCATCCTCTGAGGAAA